GGTTTTTCTCTTTCTAAGAATCCAGGAATCTTTACAGAAATATCTTGTTTCCTTTTAAATAAACATTAAGACTAGGAGAGAGGCAGTGAAGCTAAGCGACCCCAAAGCACCCACAGTCATTAAACATGCATAAACTTTAAGAGGTGCTAAAATTCACTAGGAAGGAAAAAAAAAATACAGTTAAGGTTTTTTGACTATTTTTAAAATTCTGTTTAAGAATAATATCTTGTAAGCCAATTTGAACATTATCCAGAACACAGAACTTAAATACTATAAGAGAAAAGTTCTTTACCGCACCTTCAGAAATTACTACTACAATTTTACAATCCCTTATCTGAAAACTTTTTTGGCCTGATATGTTTCAGAATTCAGAACTTTTATCAGAGAAGTGTGTCTGCCACATATTAAGTAACATCCTCATCAAGTGCGGAAGTTGCGCTGTAACCAAACTCATTAATATTTCTGTAGAGAACTTATGAATATTCACACCAAATGAATATTCAGTTATACATAGCCTCAGTTCCCTTCTGGTCAGATTTTACTATTAAGCGACTTAGGAAAGGCAGATAAAGGATCTGTAATGACACGTTAATTTGGAATCCAGTTATTTATATTTGATATCCAGTTCAGAGCCACTGTAAACTATTTGTCTTTTCTTCCACAAAAATGAAAGTGTATTTAAAATGAAAAATGAAACAGTATATTTCAGGAGGTAAATGTAAAAATGATTTGCCTGTGAAAGTAAGTTAACTATATTATGATCTTCCTCTAGAACTTGCCTAGTTCCCTCTGGTTAAAAACTTCATTTCTTGGTGCAATAGTAAAATACTTGGTGCAATAGTAAAAGGCATCAGGTCAACCTCAAACTTGCAGTGTAAGTGTTGGGGGCTTGCAGGACCTTGGGCAGCAATGAAGACCTGTGGAAAGGTAGGGAAGCCCCGAAGGAGCAGAGTGCTGCAGCCTCTCTACGCTGGGCAAATTTCACCCTCAGTGGATGAAGGAAAAGAGAGGTCAAGTAGGGATTTATGTGGTTACTGTTCTCTTCCTAGGACACGGAGTGAAAAACAGGATTCCTTTTTAAGGCGCTGGTATAAATTCTTACTTGGGGGTTACAAAAAGCGTCACACGGGGAACGGGGTAAGAGCGGCTTTACCACAGGTGGGGCTAGAAGGGAACAGGTGAAGATGGGCCATCTGTTCCTACATCAGCTCCAGACGGTTAGGTAACTGCGTGAGCGGAGCACGGCCCTTAGCGCTCTCCGTGTCCCTGGCAATGCGCTGAGCTCCACCGGCAGCAAGCTGTTGACTGCTGCCGGGCTATGTTTGGACTGTTTCTCTCGTCCCCCAAGCCGAGCCTTTCCGGCGCCCGCAGCCTAGAACCCTACCCCAGACGGACGAGTGGGGGCGGAGCTAGGTCGCACCAGAGCGCAGGCCCGTTCCGCCCCACCCCCGCCTTGAAGTACGCGGGGGGGTGGGGGGAGGAACCGTCACGGCTTCCCAGCCAATCCCCGTTACCCGGTGCCCGTGGGGCGGGACCCTCGCGGCTCTCCGTCCAATTGCCGCTCCGGGGCGGCCTCAGGGAAGCGGGCCTGCGCAGCTGTGCGCTGCGGCGGAGTTTATCAGCCTCTGGGGGTTGGGACTAGCCAGCCCGCGGAGTAGCGCTCCTTCCCTCCCTCCCTTCTTCCTCCCTCCCTTCTTCCTCCCTCCCTTCTTCCTCCCTCCTTCCCCCGCTAGCCCTTCGGGGGTGGGGAAAAGTTAAGCCGTTAGAACAGCGTTCAATTGTGGAGAGCGTGAGTTGCCAGGACTGGCGGGGGTGGCATCAGGCATCTCGCTTGCCGGGGTCTGAGAGGTATCCTTGAGGCTGGGCCGCTAGGCTGGTCCGTCGTGGTTTTTGGTTGAACTTCTTTCACCTGCTGGCTTCTGGAGTTTGCGGAGCTGCCTTTGCGTTGGTGGGAGGAGTCTCCGACCTCTCGTCGCAGTCTACGCCTCCCGTCTCTAGAGCCAAGCTTTGAACTTGCAGCCCTGCGACAAAGCGCCGGCACCAGATACCCGGGCACCGGGAGGTACATCGTTTCTGGGCACTGTCTCATGGAAGGGAGTGTAGTTGTCCTAGTAGTTAACCTAGTTAATAGTGTAGTAATTTTTATCCAGCTTTCTGGCAGCTGGACTGTTTGCGTGTGTTTGCTGTGATTGCCAAAAGTTTGAGGCTTGGGGCCTCCAACCCCTAAATTGTCTGTCTTCCACCTTCTTTTACTAGTTTCTGTTAATTTTTTACCCCTGCAATTGTTAAACTTGTTTTTCTTCCTGCCTACAGTCACCAGCCCAGTTCAAATCTCTGTGATTCCAAAACAGATTTGTTGCAACACGCTCTTGGCAGTCCTAAACAATTGATCTTGGTGTACCGGTATGTGATAATCTATTTATTTTACTTGTTTCTGTTTCTTGTTTACCTGATTCTGTTTTCTACTTTGAGTTTACATCTTATTGCTCCCAGGAGGCCCACTGTAATTAAATCCAGCGTCATCATTAATGCATTTGTAGGTTATTTTAGAATTGTATTATTTAATCTTTGTGATTGAGAGTTCAAAACAATCCTCCATGAAAGAATCTGATAATTCCTATTTTTACTGTGTACCTTTTGGTGAGTTAAGACTGTAGTGAGTATGGTACTGGTAGTCGTGGTCTCAGATTCCTAGAGTCTAGTGAGTGGCAGCGCTGTATACAGAGAATAGCTTATTTTTTTCTGTATATGTGTGTTAGTTTCCTATTGCTACCATAACAATTTATCACAAACCTAACAGTTAAAAAAACACAGACTTATTAACTAACAGCCCAGTAGATGGGAGGTCTCTGTAGGTTTAGCTGGGTACACTGCTTAGGATCTCACAAAGCTGAAATAAAAGTTTGTTTGTCTGGGCTTTCTGAGGGAGAATCCATCTCCAGGCCCGTTTAAGTTGTTGGCAGAATTAATTTCCATGCAGTTGTAGGACCGAGGTTCCAGTTTCCTTACTGGCTGTCAGCTGGGGCCTCTCTCAGTTCCATAAGACCACCTGCATTTTCAAAGTCAGATAGCACCTCCAATCCTTTTCATGTTTTTAATCTCCCTGACTAGTCTTCTGCCACCTCCTGGAGAAAGCTTTCTGGTCCAGAGGGCTCAAGTGATTAGATCAGGCCCACCTGGATAACCTACCTACTTCAGATTAGGCCCACCTGGATAACCTACCTACTTCAAATAAGGTCAATTGTGCAATAACACCATCACAGTCAAGGAAGTGATAATCTCATATTCACAGGTTCTGCGTATTAGAGGGGGCAGAATCATGGAAGCCGCTCATAGAAATTCTACCCAGCCTGATATGGTTGTCTCAAAACTAGATTATTTTTTACAGTGCGGTTTTGCAGGTATTTAAAAACAAAACAAAACCCTAGCAACAACTCTGTCTGATTATTTGAGTATCCTCTCTACAGATGAAGAAATTCAGGTAAAGTTATTTGTGCAGGGGCGTATGGCTAGAAAATGGCGAGTTGGTATTTGGACCCAGATCTACATTTCTATTAGATCTAAAGGCATGTTTGCAGATGGTCAAAGTGAAGTGCTTCTTCCTATTTAGATAGAAAGGAGCAGAGGAATTGAGATCTTTGTTGTACCTCATTTTTGGGTTATATTAGTGGTGTAAGCTAAGCTCTTCTCCCCTAACAAAGCCAAACTACAATGGCATAAATAAAAGATCTGGTTTTTTTTTTTTTGATACATCTAGAAGAAGGAGTCCAGGGCTAGTAGGAAGATTCTGACAGCCTCAATACCTGGCTCCCGTAAATGGGTACAAAGTGCTGTTCCAGTTGGGACTTTCCTGATAGGCAGTGAGGAGGAGAGAAAGCACAGGAGAACACCTGTAGTTCCTTACAGGGGAATGATCTGGAGGCAACATATACATCGCGAAGCCATACTGAGCTCCAAGGGAGAGTAGGAAAGATACAGCTATATGGCTGTCTACCCAGCTGAAACTCAGGGTTCTGTTAAGAAAGAAGGGGGAAAGTTATATTGGCTGAAAACAGTCTCTGCCACACCATTGTTTTTTATAATGTTTTATTCTCTCACTTTCTGAGTGGAATATTTTATTTGGCTTTGCTATTAGTTTTAACAGGTAGTATTTGAAAGGACAGGAAATTCTTATTCAATATTAATGTTTCTTCATTTCTCAACTGCTATTTTAATATATAATTTATAAAGGCTTCTTTGAGGAATCTCTTTATTCACATTTTGTATTACTTTGATTTTTCTGAAAATACATCTGTGGAAAATGTACAAGATTGCTTTGGGATACTTGAGATCATTCTCTTTAGGCCTCACACCACTGCAGGATTAGGTTACAGCAGCCCTATGATTTATGTACTCAGTAACATTTTGTAACTTTATAGTTGGATGACTCTTCCACAACTTTTCATATGCTCCTTTTCAGAGTTCTTTCTCTCAGCCCATTATCCTTTTCTACACATCTGAATTCTACCTACCCATTTAGACCTTACCCACTATCATGTAGCCTTTGTATGGGAGGAAGACTGTGGTCAAACAGGTCTGGATTTGAGTTGTTGGTTTGACCTTAGGCAGTTTACTAAATCTCTCTGAGTTTTGACTTCTTATGTAAAATGGCAGTGAACGACACCTTTCAGAGATAGTATGAATATGAGAGAGAGAACACATTTTCTGTAACACTTACTGCAGTACTTGGCAAATAGTAGGTGCTCAATAAATGATAATTATACTGGTCTTACTGATCACTCCTTGACCTGTAGCACTTTTGAGTCTACACTTCTTTTTTTTTTAATTGGTTTTCTCTCTTGACAAGTTCATGAATTCCTAAGGACTAGGACCAAGTCCTAGATATACTGTGGTCACTAAATAGTGATGTAGTGAGTTGGGACTAGCATCTAAAAGAATATTTATGAAATTGAATTGTGAGGGCTTTTTTTTTTCTTTAGTGTTCCTGTTGTGATTGCATCATGGAAAATCAGTTGGCTAAATCAAGTGAAGAAAGAACATTTCAGTACCAGGATTCTCTTCCATCACTGCCTGTTCCTTCACTTGAAGAATCATTAAAGAAATACCTTGAATCAGGTATGTTTGTAATCTTTTAGCATATATTAATATTGCTAGCAACTTAGAAAACTGCGAAATTGTTAGAATTTGATGAGGGTCTAATTGCTTTTTCCTCTAGGCTTACGATGATTAAAATTATCCTTAAAATGTCCAAAACATTTCTGTCTTTCTCTCTCATGTTAATTTTTCCATAGTTTAAAAAGCCAGGTAGTACTTTTAGGCTTACAGTAAGTAGTAGTCCTCTGCCTCATTTCCCCCACTGCCAATCCCATGCCCTTAAGCAAGCATTTTGAAATATTTTATCTGCTTCTTGTGTTTACCTCCAGATTTAAGCTAACATTCTTTTTTTTTTAAACAATTATTTATTTATTTATTTTTCTGTGTGTTGGGTCGTTTCTGTGCGTGGGCTTTCTCTAGTTGTGGCAAGCGGGGGCAACTCTTCATCACAGTGTGTGGGCCTCTCACTGTCGTGGCCTCTGTTCTCCAGACGCGCAGGCTCAGTAATTGTGGCTCACAGGCCCAGTTGCTCCGCAGCATGTGGGATCTTCCCAGACCAGGGTTCGAACCCGTGTCCCCTGCATTGGCAGGCAGATTCTCAACCACTACACCACCAGGGAAGCCCCGAATTTATGCCGTTTTAATTACTCTAATTTTAATGAGTTTCTAGAAGTGAAGATAAATTTATGACCTTAGTTCCCTTTGTTTAATTGGAAGCCCTCTGATTTTTTTTTTTAATTCTTTTTTCGCATCTACTTTCACCTTGGAATTCTAGTGTCTTTTTAAAAAAATTTACTGATTATTCACTTATGCTCTCTGAATGCAGCTATTTAAATTAACTTTAAGAGAAGACTTTGAAGTGACAAAAATAAAACAAAAGGAAGATATTAATGTCCCTTGATTTCTAATTTACTTTCATCTATAGCTTAATTTTCAGAACACTTGGTTGTCATGGACTAGGACCCCTGTATTCTTTGTGTGTGTGTGTGTGTGTGTCTGTGTGTGTGTGTGTGTGTGTCTGTGTCTGTGTGTGTCTGTGTGTGAGGGAAATCGCTCTTGGCCAGAAGGGACCCTACAGTACTCTGGGAAGGCTTTGCACTTAAATTTACATACATATCGCACTTACGTTCATAATGTTTAAGGCTCTGCTTCAACATTAGTGGAAAGAAGCTTTAATTTCTCTCAGTCATGGCTAAACAGGATTTACTTTCCTGTTGGACTAGTAGCTAGATGATAGTCCTGTATGTCATTTTAACTATCATCGTCTAGAATGATTTTTAAATAATTTTGGGGGAAGTAGTTATCAGACTACGTAGTATACACAGTTTTATTTTATTTTATTGTTATTTTTTTAAAATTATTTATTTATTTTTGGACGCATCGTATCTTCGTTGCTGTGTGTGGGCTTTCTCTAGTTGCGGCCAGCGGGGGCTACTCCTCAGTGCGTGCACGTGCTTCTCATTGTGGTGGCTTCTCCTGTTGGGGAGCACAGGCTCTAGGCGTGCGGGCTTCAGTAGCTGTGGCTCGCAGACTGTAGAGCACAGGCTCAGTAGTTGTGGTGCACGGGCTTCGTTCCTCCATGGCATGTGGGATCTCCCCGGACCAGGGCTCGAACCTGTGTTCCATGCATTGGCAGGCGGATTCCCAACCACTGCGCCACCAAGGAAGCCCCACAGTTTTATTTTTTCCAGTATTTTGCATTATTGCTTTTCCGCCATTTTCATGTTGTAAACACTATTATAATTTAGTGGACTGCTCTAATACATAAGTGTTTTATATAACTGAGTCAAGATTTGTGTAAGTAATAATAATTGAGGTGAGTTTGTGGTACTTGATATCTAAGTACTTTAATGCATATTTTTTTCTTTATAGTAAAGCCATTTGCAAATGAAGAAGAATATAAGAAAACTGAAGCAATTGTCCAAAAATTTCAAAATGGTATTGGAGAAAAATTGCAGCAGAAATTACTTGAAAGGGCAAAAGAAAAAAGAAATTGGGTATTTATGTTATTGTACTTAGAATATTGATACTTAATGAAAAATAAAAGTGTATCTGGCTTTCATTTTTAAATTATTACTGTACTGTAAAATCCTTGTAGTTATTGTTGTCTTTATCATCATCCAAAAGAATGAGTGAATTGTTTAACTCTGGGGAGTTTTAAGTAAGTGTTGTGTGTGGGCTCCTCCTATTGGGGAACCTGTTAAAATGCAGAGTTCCTGGGACCAGTGATTCTGATTCAGTATCTCTGGAATGGGGGCCCAGAAATCCTGATTTTCACAGCTACTCCATGTGGTTCTGTTGCACGTCATCTGTAGACCATGCTTGAGAAAAACATTTTGCCCAGATAATCAAAGTCCCACAACACTAAAATAAACATCACATTGGTGACATACAAATATTTAAACAGTACGTAGGAGAAAAGGGGCATTACAAAACTGGAGTGGAGAATGGTTATGAGTATTTTATGTTTCAGTTAAATAGATTGAGGAGACAGTCGTTTCATAATTACTGAGGATCTCAGTAATTTGCCACAAGGAATCTTCTTTGACTTTTTCGTCTTAACTACTCTGCTTCTGTAGTACAAACCAGAGGATGAGTTTTCATAATTTAAGATATTGCCTTACTCTAGAAATAATGATTGTAACTCTCATTTAGTTTTAGAAATAAAAAGCAAGCTGATCTTCTCATTGTCCTTTGATACCTATGATGGAATAATAAAATTTTATACCTCAAGATTCCTTTTTTCTCAATCTTGAGCCTTGAGTGACTTTAATTAAATTAGGGTAAAGGTAAAGAAGTTGTTGTTCTGCCTGTATCCTTTTCACTTATATCTTTTTCCAAATGACTGATTATAGTTTATAACATCAAATTCTTCAAAAAGAGCTCCAGGTAATTTGGTGACATCCACTTACTTATATGTGAAATTCAATTGCATGTCATGAAAGAGGGACACATAGAAAGTGGTGTCCCTGAAAAATCCAAATTAGTTTTAAGCCTACTGAAAAGTTTTCATATTTCTATGAAAAAGGAAATAGGAAAATTATAAGTGCCTTAATAATTGTTATAATTGAGGATTTGTTGAATATCTATTGTACCCCAGGTACTCTGAGAAAACACACCTAGAGTACTTTGTTGGGTACTCCTGGTACTCTGAGTACTTGATGATTTCAGTATGATCGGTCTGAAGGTGTTTGTTTCAGTGCTTTCTTGTTTTATGTTTTTGATAATGTAGTTGAACTGAATAGTACTTAATTCAGATCCCATAATTCTGAAAGAAAGAAATGATCACAGTACTGTTTTTTAATATCTGTGATGATTTAAAACGAAACATGTTTTTAAGTGTTGAAGACTAATTAAAGAAAAAAGGACAAATAGAGCTTTTTTCCCCCCAGCAGTTACACACTGAAGTATTATCAGTAGCATTAGGCTGATGTTCTCAATTTCTTTTAGCTGGAAGACTGGTGGCTGAATGTTGCCTACCTGGATGTTCGTATACCATCACAACTGCATGTCAACTTTGGGGGTCCTGCAAGCCATATTGAACACTACTGGCCTCCGAAGGAAGGCACGCAATTGGAAAGAGGAAGTATAAGTCTTTGGCATATCTTGAACTACTGGCAGCTATTAAGAAAGTAAGGATAGTTTTGTCAATTTGGTTACATATTTACCCAAGGTCTCAGGTCGCACAATGTTGAGAAGCTTAATTTCCTCATTTGGGGATGAATACTATAGGTGTGACTGTTTGGTTTATAAATTTTATAATGATTTCTTGGTCAATATACTGTTTTGGTTTGTTTTAATAGAGAAAAATTGCCTGTTCATAAAGTTGGAAATACTCCTCTAGATATGAATCAATTCCGAATGCTGTTTTCCACCTGCAAGGTTCCAGGAATTACTAGAGATTCAGTTATTAATTATTTTAGGACTGGTAAGTAGAAAACAAACACATGTACTTCTTCTGGTAAAAGCATTGGGATTTGGGTAGTTTTGCTGGAGTTTCTTCTGTGATGCTGTGGCACATACTTCTTTTTTTTTTGGCTGCTCTGCCTGCCTTGCGAGGTATTAGTTCCCTGATCAGGGTTAGAACCTGGGCCCACAGCAGTGAAAGTGCTGAGTCCTAAGCACTGGACCACCAGGGAATTCCCACGACACTGTGGAACATACATTTTTTTTTTTTAATTTGGAACATACTGTTTTGAAAAATATTTCTTACTGGATTTTGACTAATCAGAAGCCTTCTATGAACCTTTTCTTTCAGTCATAGTGATTAGCTGGAAGTAATTTGTGGGAATGGATATTTTGAAACTGTCTTACATGGTTCTGTACAAACCTGTTGCTTATGTTGCATCATTTGAGAGTTTAAATTTTAGTTAAAGAGTAGAATTATGAATCAGTTTTAGGAGATCTGCAGCATACGATCTGGATCCTTCTCTTTCTACCCTCCTTTCTTATCTGAATTCTTTTTGAGTGTTTGTATGTGCTCATCATGTCCCATTTGTCTTTGTGAGTATGCTTTCCTCCCCTCAACCCACCCCTCTTCTTCGTATGAGGTAAGAGCCTGATACCCATCTTCTTGAAGGCACATGAGTTCAGATTGACTCATCAAAGTTTTTGTTTTTAGTTAGTTTAATGGCACTTTCTGCTTGGTGTCCTAGCATATCTTCAAAGGGAAGATTCTGTAGTAGTAACTGCTGGTTTCCAGTTACTTCAGGAATTTTTCTTATAAATTTAATAACATAGTTTATATTACTGCAAAATGTCATTATGAATGGGTATTTTTCTTATATAAAATTTTATTTAAAAGTAAAATTTCAATACCCAATTTTGCTTATAGTGTGAGAAGTATAAGTTTACTCTCATGTAGAACTCAACTTTTTGTAAAACTCTGTAGGAGCTTGAGATATTTAATGTCCTTAATCTTGACACATTTACCTTGATGTTGCAAGAGAAAGAATTAAAAGAAAGAATTAGGAACCTGGTTATTTATGGCATAAAGTTGAACGTCCAAATGTGAATTGAAAAGATGAACAGGAGAAAATTGATAGGAGAATAGCAGTAGCAAATAGAAATAATATGCATATTAGTTAAGAACTATTATCAATAGACCTGGTTTTGAATTCAGTCTTTTATCGCTTAGTAGGTATGTCTGTAGATAAGGTAAGTTCTTTAAGTAACAGTGCATAAGGTGGGGATTCATCAATTTAATAATGTACTTCTTGATACAGTGGTTTAAGCTTTCATGGTTAGTATGTTCTTGAACTTACAGTTATGTGAATAAGTGCAAATAGGGATAAAGCTGAGGGAATCAGTAAACATGAAAAAATATCATAGAGTTTGTGACAAATGCTATACAGAGAATTCAAATCACATGAGTAACTGGGTGGCTGTTTTAGATTAGGTAGTCAGGGAAGACCTCACTGAGGATCTGAATAATAAGATGATCTGGCACAGTTTTTTTGCTTTTCATTTTTGTTTTTGTTTAGTTCTGTTTGTTGGTAGTGGTGGAGGCAGAGGTGGTGGTGGTGTGTGTGTGTTTGTGTGTGTGTTGAGGGGGGAATTTTCTGGGTATGAATAAACTTGGCATGTTCGAAGGTCAATGTGGATGGAGCAGAGTATGCAAGAAGGAGGGGGGGCAGATTGTAAAGATGTAAAAGAGTCTGGATCATATAGTACTTTGTAAGCCAACTAAGGTTTTTTGGCCTTTATTTAAAATGTGATTAGATACTATTAGTGGGTTTTGACCAAGAGAGTGATGTGAACATTTTATGTTTTAAAAAAGATCATTCTGCCTTCTCTTTGAAGAATAAATTTTTAGGAGAGAGATATGTAGCAGCAGGGAGATGAATTAGAAGCTTGTTTTAGTAGTCCCAGTGAGCCATAATAATGACTTGTCCTAGGGTGGTAGCATGGAGGTGGTGAATAGTTACTAGATTCTGGAGAGATTTTGGATATGGAGTAAGCAGAATTATTCATAGATTGGTTGTGAGATGTGAGAGAAAAAGAGGAATCAGAGATGCCCTCAAGTTACTGGGCTTGAGAAGCTAATGGTGTAGATAGGTGTTTTGGTTCATGAGGTGGGGAAAACTGGGAGGAAATATTTAGGAAAGAAAATAAAGAGTTCCCTAGACTGCACTGAATTTAAGATGCCTTTTAGACATCTAAGTGGAAATGTAAATAGGCAGTTGGGTACAGAGTTTGGGGTACTGGGGAGAATTCAGGACTGCAGATAAAGATTTAGGAGTCATCATTAGCAGGCATAGAAATCATTTCTACCCCCATAAGAATAGGAAGGATTCCTTTTGGAATACATGTAGCTGAAGATGGTCAGGGGAACCAGTATTGATCCTGATCACAGTCAAATATAGTAGTTGGTGGTCAGAGAAGGAGGAACCAGCAAAAGAGACCAAAGCAGGAAGAAAACAAGAGCAGTGGTCTCCCAGAAGCCACGAGAAAGAACTGTTTTACCTAATGCTCCCATGAGGTCAAATGAGGTGGAAATTGGAAGTGACCATTGGATTTGTCAGAGTGATGTGGACAGAGGCTGCCCCTGACAAGAGCACTGTTAGTGGAAGTTGGGGAACGGAGCTCAGCTGGAGGAGATGAAAGCAAACTGAAGAAGTGGTGGCAGCATTTGGAAATAATTCTTGCAGAAAAGGTTTGGATGTGCAGTGGGAGATTTGTGTGTGTGTGTGTGTGTGTGTGTGTGTGTTATTTTTTTAAAAAAAGATGGGTGATACATCATAGGAATGACGTAGGAGAGTAGGAAGAATTATCTTGCAGGGGAAAGGATAAAGAACCAAAGACATTGAGAATATAAGAGCAGAAATGGTGGAAGAACTGGTCTTTGGCAGGAGCAAGGATGAGAGGCAATGCAGAAAGTGTGTGTCTAGATGCACACAGATGGGCTGATCTTGCTGTAGGAAGAGGAGGCTGTTCCATGTACTGCTTGTGTTTTCCTTGGTGAAATAAGAACTGAGGTGGGGGTGGAATATTTGAGAAAAAAAGGAGATGGTTTGAAATGGTCATTTTGGAAAGTGGGAAAAGCAAACATTCTGAGGAAACATAGGGTAGCTAAACAGTGTTGAGATGTGTTTTTATGAATTTAAAGTTAGACTATATGGTGTGTTGTGTTTTTTCCTTCAGCAACAAGGGCAGGTGCAGGGGAAGAGGGAATGAGGATTTTTGCAAGGGAGAAATTGTAATGTGGGCTATAGAATCTATCCTGGATAAGGAGAAAATTGAAGAAATTATGTGTGTTGAGGGGGACGGCAGCATGCAGGCTGCTGCAGATAAGAGGCTAGTCGCAATAACGAGGCAAGTTAGACCTAGTTTTGTTTTTTGTTGTTGTTGTTTTTTTTTTTTTTTTTTACCTTACGAGACTGTTAAGACTAATTCAGCTTTGCTTTTCATCCTGTGCGCCTCATTTTGCCCAAGAAGTTCAGACTTCGAATGTCATCTCTTGTCATCTAGATTCATGGATTTGTGCATAGCCTAATTTGACTCAAGTTCCCCACTGCTGGGACCCACCCTCCACTCCTTCCCCAAACCCTTCTGCTGTACTTGATGGAGCTCATGGTCAGCAGAATCCGTTATATTCTCCACCTTTTCTCAGAAAGTTCCCCTTTCCTTCTGAAAGGTGCTGTTCATGAAACCTGGTTAATTTTTTACACTGCTTTTCCTATAACCATCTCAAATGGGGATTTTGTTTTTCTCTTACACTTTGGTACTGGAGGGCAAGTAGGAGATGTTGGTGTCTTCTTTATTTCCTGTTGCCCTTTTCACGTTTTCTTTTCCCTTGCAATTTGAGCTCTTGAAAAAAAAAATGCTATCAGGTTATGTCACCGCTGCTTGTCATTGTCATAGTGACTTCCCTTTTGGTCACTTTCCTTCATTCATTGATTGCTTTAGCACCAGTCTCACTGACTGTCTCTCCATTACTACCTCAGTCGCATTCTTGCTGGCCTCAGCCTCCGTTTGTGGATGACCCGTGGCTTCTCCTTCCTTCCTCTCCTTCTCAAGCAGCCACCCACTCCCGTGGCCCAGCCATAGACCTTGTTGTAATCAAAAACCCTCTCACCTCCAGCAGTGTGGTTGTAGGCATCTCACTCTGACCTCCACGTTCTTTTCACAACTCGCTTCCTTTCGGTCCACCTCAGCCATTCCTTTGACCACATCTTGACTTAAAATTGAGTTACTCTGCAGTTCTTCGCTGTTTCATTTCTCCCTCCCCGTAGCCACATCTTCACATCTCTGTGTGGTTCTTCCCTGTCACCACTCCTTACGTGTACATTCCAACCTTTGCTCACCTGCTCCCTCCCTCCGCACTCCACCCCCACCTCAGCACTTTAAATTCAAGACACCTACCCTAGCAATTTACTTGGCCAAAGGAAACCACAAAACATCACTTTTCTCAGTCAAACCTCAAGTGGACACAAAGCACTGCCTCGCTGTATTCTTTTGTCAAGCTATTCTCTCACTTCCAGAGAAGATTGTTTCGTGCCTTTCTCCTTCTTTATTCCCAGCTAATGAACTCTTCTATTTCTCAACAAATGTAAAGCAATGTTTCTATCACCAAAGTTGCCAACCTATGTGGTAGGCAGAATAATGACCCCCAAATATGTCCACTTTCTAATCCTTGGAACCGACTGAATGTGTTACCTTAAATGGTAAAGGGGAATTAGGTTGCAGATGAAATTAAGTTTGCTAATCAATTGACCTTGAGATAGGGAGATTATCCTGGATTATTTAGGTGGGCCCAGAGTAATCATAAGAATTCTTACAAGTGAAGAAAGAGGCAGAGAGAACCAAAGGGGTGGAAGCATGAGAAAGTCGTGATGCTGTCTTGATGGCTCTGAAGATGAAGGAATGGAGGGAATTCCCTGGCGGTCCAGTGGTTAGGACTCAGCACTTTGACTGCCAGGGTCCAGGTTCAGTCCCTGATCGGGGAACTAAAACCCTGCAAGCCGTGTGGGGCAGCCAAAAAAAAAAAAAATGGAGGAATAGGGCCCTGAGCCAAGGAATGTGGGCAGCCTCTAGAGGCTGAAAAAGCAAAGGAAGCAGATTCTCCCCTAGAGCCTCCAGAAGGAACACAGACTTGCTGACACCCTCATTTTAGCCCAGTGAGACACATTTCAGACTTCGGTCCCCAGACCTGTAAGACAATAAATTTGTGTTGTTAGTGGTGATTTACCACTAAGTTAGTGGTAATTTATTACAGCAGTCATAGAAACATTCATTCAAATATTGGCCCATTCTGTAACCTCCTTGCAATACACTACTGCACATTCATATACTTGGTCTTCTCTTTTTAAGAGTGTGGAACTGTTCTGACTCCTAAAGATAACCTTTCTGTAAGGTGCCCTGGGGTCCACCACCTCTTGTTTAATCAAGAACCTTGCTTCTGCATTATCCTTTCTGTGCTGCATTAACAGTTTTCCCTCTTTAGTGGGTTGTACCAATTTGTAATATCTCCCTTCTTAAAAAGAAAAAATTGACCTCTTGCTTCCTTCAAGTGTCACACCCCACTCAAAGCCACCATCAACTCTCACTTAGGTGGTTCTCACCTGGACCACTTCAGTTACCTCCTAACTGATCTTGCTGTATATTTTCTTCCCTCTTAAAATCTCTTCTCCATATGGCAGCTAGAGTGCCCTTTGTAAAGTATTAATTAGGTGACATTATTACTATCCTGCTTAAAACCTTCCATTGGCTTCTTTTCCATCATACTTCAAATTGCAAGCCCTTTCTAAGGCCAATATGGTCTGGCCCCAATTTTTTTCTACCGTTCTACCTATTTCTCTCTGCTGTAGCTGCACTGACCTTGTTTCCCTTTAAGCAGACCAGCTCATTTTTGTCCTAATGCCCTTGTACTTGGTGTTTCCTCTACCTGGAACTCTCTTCCTGCAGGTATTTCTGTATTCACACCTTTGCTTCATTTTATTCTCTGCTCAAATATCCCCTCTTATGCTCATCCTGTGGCAGCACCCTTCTGTCGTCCTCTTCCCAAATATTTACTGATTAACTTGGCATCAGGTTTATTTTATTTTTTCTTTTGCAGCCTGAAATTTTAGGTAATAGAGGACAGCAATAAAAGGTAGTGGTGGTAAATGTTAAAGGGTATGGAGGTTTTCGAAGGGGAAGAAAGAAGAAATGGTTTGGAAATAGCCATGAGGGACAAAGGAAATACATACCTCACCTACAAGGACTTGAGGAAATAGGATATAAGAGAAAAAATAATAGTGCTATCAGGAAATGGCTCTTCCTCTTAGCTGATGAATAGATTTCAGTAGATAATCTGTGTAAAACATTTAGCACAGTTCCTTGTATTTAATGTCAACCAATAAATTTACTTCCAGTGGCAGTATATGTCTTTCCTAACTTTCTTCCTCTTCTGTTTTTGAGAGGGAAGGAGCAGAGATCTTATAGGAAGACCCTTGTCAAAGCGACTAGTACTTGAAAAATGGGACTAAATCAGAATAATCTGAGATTTACAAATCTCAAAAATAAATAGTTCTTGGGGATTTAAGATGTGCCAAATGAGTCATAGAATCAATTATCAGTGGCTTACCAGGTGTCATCAGAGCCTTCAGTAATGCTACAGATTGGGCAAAATTCTTTCTCCTTGCCACCCAGGCATACAGTGTCCTTATTCTACTGAAAACTATTTTATTGAGAAATCACAGCTAGATACTCTTGCAGTTAAATTATGTGATGATCAATAAACATTAAAATAATCCCCAAGCAGGACAGGAATAAAGACGCAGACGTAGAGAATGGACTTGAGGACACAGGGAGGGGCAAGGGTAAGCTGGGACGAAGTGAGAGAATGGACTTACATATACTACCAAATGTAAAATAGATAGCTAGTGGGAAGCAGCCGCATAGCCAGGGAGATCAGCTCAGTGCTTTGTGACCATCTAGAGGGGTGGGATAGGGAGGGAGGGTGGGAGGGAGACACAAGAGGGAGGAGATATGGGGATATATGTATACGCATAGCTGATTCACTTTGTTATAAAGCAGAAACTAGCACACCATTTTAAAGCAGTTATACTCCAATAAAGATGTTAAAAAAAAAAAAGAAAAAACCCCGAAAGAAACTTAACTCAAATAGCTCTCCTCCAGGATTTCTCTGCGACCCTTGTCTCTTCCCATCCTATCCATAAATAAAACTAGAAAGTCCTGCAATAATATGGAATTTATATGATTCTTAAGGTGTACAAATATTTGAAACTTTTGTCGATTTCTAGATGTTTTATTTACATGGACGGGTTTCAGGAACATGTATTTATCACATAATAACTGAAATTTTATCACCTTATTAAAGTATTTTTATTCATGTGACATATTTGATGAATATATGATAGATAAAATATTGGAGGAATTTTTTTTCTGTTGGATATAAATATGCAGCTTTACTCTTGCTTAACTTTGAGAGATTTGAGTCTTCTATTTTCTTTTTCTTTTTCCAGAGAGTGAAGGGCATTGCCCAAGTCACATTGCAGTGATGTGTCGAGGCCGAGTTTTTGTGTTCGATGTAATGCATGAAGGATGTTTGATGACCCCACCAGAGATTCTCAGGTTTTCACACTACTTTCTTTTTTTTAAATCTCTGTATATTTTAAATTTTATTTGATTTATTTATTTTTGGCTGCTTCGGGTCTTAGTTGCGGCAGACGGGATCCTCATTGCAGCATGCAGGATCTTTCGGTGTGGCGTGCGGGCTTCTCTCTAGTTGTGGCACGTGGGCTCCAGAGTACGTGGGCTCAGTAGTTGCGGTGCGCAGGCTTAGTTGCCCCGTGGCTTGTGGGATCTTAGTTCCTGGACCAGGGATCGAATCTGCGTCCTCTGCGTTGGAAGGCGGATTCTCAACCACTGGACCACCAGGGCAGTCCCTTATCCCTCAGACTACATTCTTTTTTTATTTTATTTATTTATTTATTTTTAATTTTTGCCTGTGTCTGGTCTTAGTTGCGGCATGTGGGATCTTCATTGCGGTGCATGAGCTTCTCTCTAGTTGTGGCACAGGGGCTTCTCTCTAGTTGTGGCGCCTGGGCTTCTCTCTAGTTGTGGTGTGTGGGTTTTCTCTCTCTAGTTGTGGTGCCTGGGCTCCAGAGCATGTGGGCTCTCTAGTTTGTGGCATGCGGGCTCTCTAGTTGCAGCGCGCAGGCTCAGTAGTTGCCCCGTGGCATGGGGGATCTTAGTTCCGCCCAGGCATCGAATCTGCGTCCCCTGCATTGGAAGGCGGATTCTTTACCACTGGACCACCAGGGAAGTCCCTCAAACTACTTTCTTGAGTCTCATTAGGTCTTAAGATTTTGCTCAGGTTAAAAAATAGATGTTCAAAATTACCTTTTTAAAAGGTGACGGTAAGGTGAGAAATAAGAATTGTATATATGCTAATTTAAAAAAATCTATTTTTATTTTATTTTTAATTTAAATTAACTTTAAATTTTACTGGATGTATATGAATATATTCTCCTTGGAGAAAAGATAAACATTACAAATATTACTCATCCCATTCCCTGTCCCCAAATTAATCACTGTTGCTAGCTTGGTATATTCTGCCCTTCCAGATCTGTCGCAGTGAATTTATATGCACATACAGATTTTAAAAAAAGAACATATATGTATATTTTATATGTAGTATATATTACATATATACAAATAGTATGTACATATAATAGTGTATACAGAGAGTATTATTTTGTATGTTTTTTGTTTTTTCTTTAATAAATTTATTTATTTATTTTTGTCTGCATTGGGTCTTCGTTGCTGCGAGTGGGCTTTTCTCTAGTTGTGGCGAGCGAGGGCTACTCTTGTTGTGGTGCGCGGGCTTCTCATTGTGGTGGCTTCTCTTGTTGCGGAGCACAGGCTCGAGGCATGTGGGCTTCAGTAGTTGTGGCACGTGGGTTCAGTAGTTGTGGCTCCCGGACTCTAGAGCGCAGGCTCAGTAGTGTGGCGCACGGGCTTAGTTGCTCCATGGCATGTGGGATCTTCCCGGACCAGGGCTCGAACCCGTGTCCCCTGCATTGGCAGGCGGATTCTTAACCACTGCACCACCAGGGAAGTCCTGGGTATAGTTGTTTTACAATGTTGTGTTAGTTTCTACTGTACAGCAAAGTGAAGTTCCCTGTGCTGTACAGCAGGTTCTCATTAGTTACCTATTTTATACATATTAGTGTATATATGTATATATGTCAATCCCAGTCTCCCAATTCATCCCATCCGCCCCTTCTCCCCTTGGTGTCTATACATTTGTTCTCTACATCTGTGTCTCTATTTCTGCCCTGCAAACCGGTTCATCTGTACCATTTTTCTAGATTCCACATATATGCTTTAATATACGATATTTGTTTTTCTCTTTCTGACTGACTTCACTCTTTATGACACTTTCTAGGTCCACCCACATCTCTACAAATGACCCATTTTTGTTCTTTTTTATGGTTGAGTAATAGTCCATTGTATATTTGTACCACATCTTCTTTATCCATTCATCTGCTGATGGACATTTAGGTTGCTTCCATGACCTGGCTATTGTAAATAGTGCTGCATATGTTTATATTTTTAAAGTTAGTATTATGGAACATTTCCAGAGGTAGCAGGAATTATATAATGAAGCTCCTCCATGTACTCACACCCAGCTTCAACAGTTATTAACTCCTAGCTTCAACAATTATAAATTCATATCCTCATTTCAACTATACCTCCTGTGCCCCTCCCATCACTCCCCCATGGATTATGTTAAAGAAAATCTCAGACATAATATCCTTTCCCTATGACTCTCTAAGATATAAGGAGTCTTAAAAACATAAATATACATTACCATTATCACACCTAATGACTTGCTTATTCTAAAAAGTTAATCAAGGATTCATTAACATGTTAATATATCAGTACAATCAGTTGTTCAAATTTTCTAGATTGTCTTCTAAATGTTGAATTATATGAAGGTATATATATTTTTAATTATTTTTATTGAGTATTACAGACATGTACACAAGCACGGAAGTACATAGCTAATTACTCATGCAGCCACCACGCAGGTCAAGATACAGAACGTTTTCATTACTCCACAAATTCCCCTTATACCACTTCCCAGTTACTGGGCTTTTGTTCCTTCTCAAGGATAATCACATAGCTTGCTTGCAGTTTTTATTAGTACAAAAAATGCTGCTGTGAAAATTCCCGTACAAGTCTTTGATGTATACATGCATGCACTCCTGTCTGATTACACTCAGGAGAGGACCTGGGGAGTCATAGTGTATGTGTATGTTCAGTCTCAGTGGTTGTGCCAGCTTTCCAAAGTAGTTGTGCTAATAAGCACTTGAACTAGTGTGTTCAACACTAGGCTTGTTGTAGGAGTTCCTTATACATTCTGGATATGAGCTTTTCATGGGTTTCAAAGTGTCTTTTTGATCAACAGAAGCTCTACATTTGAATGTAGTCTAATTTATCTTTTACCATACGGATTGTACTTTTTGTGTACTGTTTAAAATTAATTAATTAATTAATTTTTGGCTGCATTGGGTCTTCGTTGCTGCTTGCAGGCTTTCTGTAGTTGCAGTGAGCGGGGGCTACTCTTCATTGTGGTGCATGGGCTTCTCATTGTGGTGGCTTCTCTTGTTGCAGAGCATAGGCTCTAGGCGTGCAGGCTTCAGTAGTTGTGGTGTGTGGTCTCAGTAGTTGTGGCATGTGGGCTCAGTAGTTGTGGCTCGCAAGCTCAGTAGTTGTGGCACATGGGCTTAGTTGCTCCATGGCATGTGGGATCTTCCTGGACCAGGGATTGAATCTGTGTCCCCTGCATTGGCAGGTAGATTCTTAGCCAGTGTGCCACCAGGGAAGTCCCTTGCCTATTTTTCTTTTTTTTTTAAAGATAGAAAAAAAGAAATAACACTTTATTTCCAGATAATTAAAGAATCTAAAATGATCTATAGAATTAGAATTAATAAGTGACTTTAGCAAGCTGGGTATGAGGTCTTCATATAAAAATTAATATTTCTATATACTAGCAGTTAGTAAAAGAAAATTTAAGAGAATTTACGAAACCTCACTTTTTTCACACGCCCGCGCGCGTGCACACACACACACACACACACACTGTATTTTATTTTTACAAGAGATAAATAAACTGACATCAAGCATTGTAAATGGATGACGACAACAAAAGCAACAATGATTGCAATTACCAAACATGAAACACACTCATACTATGTCATAATATTGACATTCAGTCCAGTAATCCTCCACTATAACAGCTCCTTTACTTTGCAGTGAAAATTGATTTGTATATTTTTTACCTCTGAGTCCTCGTGGGATTTTTTTTTAATTCAAACAGAAAGTCACAAAAATTATAATCATCGTCATCAGTTCACTCAGTCCCATGTAATTATTTTTCTTGTCTTGATCTTTTGTTAGCACTTTTATAATTCATCAGTTTTCCATTAGAGTTCTGAAAATGCCTATTGATTCAGTTCAGCAGTGTAGTCAGTAACCAGAAACCTGTACTTGTCAGAGTCTTTTCCATGAATTCCTTGAAGATGAAACCCTTTTATAGGAACATTTTTGCAAAAGCATCAGAGTACACCCAGAACTGTCTGTAAATGACAAAAGACTTAAAAATGACCACAGTTAAAGATTTGATGAAAGTTCATAGAAATGCAGTTGACAAGGAAATTTAGTTATTTCTGAGATATACATTTTAAAGTAATAACTAGAATTATGACTTATACCATTATACCAGAACATATAAGATTTTTAGAAATTTCATGTAATGTCTGAAACATTTGTATTAACATATTTCCATACAAATAACCCAAAGAAAGTTTAGCATTGGTGTTTTTGTTTGTTTATACTGCAGGTTCTTATTAGGCATCAGTTTTATACACATCAGTGTATATTAATGTCAATCCCAATTGCCCAATACATCACACCACCACCACCATCCCCACCCCACCTCGGTTCCCCCCCTTGGTGTCCATACGTTTGTTCTCTACATCTGTGTCTCAACCTCTGCCCTGCAAACCGGTTCATCTGTACCATTTTTCTAGGTTCCACATAAATGCGTTAATATACCATATTTGTTTTTCCCTTTCTGTTTTACTTCACTCTCTATGACAGTCTCTAGATCCATCCACATCTCAACAAATGACTCAATTTTGTTCCTTTTTATGGCTGAGTAATATTCCATTGTATAGATGTACCACAACTTCTTTTTCCATTCATCTGTAGATGGGCATTTAGGTTGCTTCCATGACCTGGCTATTGTAAATAGTGCTGCATTGGGGTGCATGTGTCTTTTTGAATTATTGTTTTCTCTGGGTATATGCCCAGTAGTGGGATTGCTGGATCATATGGTAATTCTATTTTTAGTTTTTTAAGGAACCTCCATACTGTTCTCCATAGTGGCTATATCAGTTTACATTCCCACCAACAGTGCAAGAGGGTTCCCTTTGGTCCACACCCTCTCCAGCATTTGTTGTTTGTAGATTTTCTGATGATGCCCATTCTAACTGGTGTGAGGTGATACCTCATTGTAGCTTGATTTGCATTTCTCTAATAATTAGTGATGTTGAGCAGCT